CTGTCTCTGGTCTTCCTCACCTGTCTCTGGTCTTCCTCATCTGTCTCTGGTCTTCCTCACCTGTCTCTGGTCTTCCTCATCTGTCTCTGGTCTTCCTCATCTGTCTCTGGTCTTCCTCATCTGTCTCTGGTCTTCCTCACCTGTCTCTGGTCTTCCTCACCTGTCTCTGGTCTTCCTCACCTGTCTCTGGTCTTCCTCATCTGTCTCTGGTCTTCCTCATCTGTCTCTGGTCTTCCTCACCTGTCTCTGGTCTTCCTCATCTGTCTCTGGTCTTCCTCACCTGTCTCTGGTCTTCCTCATCTGTCTCTGGTCTTCCTCACCTGTCTCTGGTCTTCCTCATCTGTCTCTGGTCTTCCTCATCTGTCTCTGGTCTTCCTCATCTGTCTCTGGTCTTCCTCATCTGTCTCTGGTCTTCCTCATCTGTCTCTGGTCTTCCTCATCTGTCTCTGGTCTTCCTCATCTGTCTCTGGTCTTCCTCACCTGTCTCTGGTCTTCCTCATCTGTCTCTGGTCTTCCTCACCTGTCTCTGGTCTTCCTCATCTGTCTCTGGTCTTCCTCATCTGTCTCTGGTCTTCCTCATCTGTCTCTGGTCTTCCTCATCTGTCTCTGGTCTTCCTCATCTGTCTCTGGTCTTCCTCATCTGTCTCTGGTCTTCCTCATCTGTCTCTGGTCTTCCTCATCTGTCTCTGGTCTTCCTCATCTGTCTCTGGTCTTCCTCATCTGTCTCTGGTCTTCCTCATCTGTCTCTGGTCTTCCTCATCTGTCTCTGGTCTTCCTCATCTGTCTCTGGTCTTCCTCATCTGTCTCTGGTCTTCCTCATCTGTCTCTGGTCTTCCTCACCTGTCTCTGGTCTTCCTCACCTGTCTCTGGTCTTCCTCACCTGTCTCTGGTCTTCCTCACCTGTCTCTGGTCTTCCTCACCTGTCTCTGGTCTTCCTCACCTGTCTCTGGTCTTCCTCATCTGTCTCTGGTCTTCCTCATCTGTCTCTGGTCTTCCTCATCTGTCTCTGGTCTTCCTCATCTGTCTGTGGTCTTCCTCATCTGTCTCTGGTCTTCCTCATCTGTCTCTGGTCTTCCTCACCTGTCTCTGGTCTTCCTCATCTGTCTCTGGTCTTCCTCATCTGTCTCTGGTCTTCCTCATCTGTCTCTGGTCTTCCTCACCTGTCTCTGGTCTTCCTCATCTGTCTCTGGTCTTCCTCACCTGTCTCTGGTCTTCCTCATCTGTCTCTGGTCTTCCTCACCTGTCTCTGGTCTTCCTCATCTGTCTCTGGTCTTCCTCATCTGTCTCTGGTCTTCCTCATCTGTCTCTGGTCTTCCTCATCTGTCTCTGGTCTTCCTCACCTGTCTCTGGTCTTCCTCACCTGTCTCTGGTCTTCCTCACCTGTCTCTGGTCTTCCTCATCTGTCTCTGGTCTTCCTCATCTGTCTCTGGTCTTCCTCATCTGTCTCTGGTCTTCCTCATCTGTCTCTGGTCTTCCTCACCTGTCTCTGGTCTTCCTCACCTGTCTCTGGTCTTCCTCACCTGTCTCTGGTCTTCCTCATCTGTCTCTGGTCTTCCTCATCTGTCTCTGGTCTTCCTCATCTGTCTCTGGTCTTCCTCACCTGTCTCTGGTCTTCCTCACCTGTCTCTGGTCTTCCTCACCTGTCTCTGGTCTTCCTCACCTGTCTCTGGTCTTCCTCATCTGTCTCTGGTCTTCCTCACCTGTCTCTGGTCTTCCTCATCTGTCTCTGGTCTTCCTCACCTGTCTCTGGTCTTCCTCATCTGTCTCTGGTCTTCCTCACCTGTCTCTGGTCTTCCTCACCTGTCTCTGGTCTTCCTCATCTGTCTCTGGTCTTCCTCATCTGTCTCTGGTCTTCCTCATCTGTCTCTGGTCTTCCTCATCTGTCTCTGGTCTTCCTCATCTGTCTCTGGTCTTCCTCATCTGTCTCTGGTCTTCCTCACCTGTCTCTGGTCTTCCTCACCTGTCTCTGGTCTTCCTCACCTGTCTCTGGTCTTCCTCATCTGTCTCTGGTCTTCCTCACCTGTCTCTGGTCTTCCTCACCTGTCTCTGGTCTTCCTCACCTGTCTCTGGTCTTCCTCATCTGTCTCTGGTCTTCCTCATCTGTCTCTGGTCTTCCTCATCTGTCTCTGGTCTTCCTCATCTGTCTCTGGTCTTCCTCATCTGTCTCTGGTCTTCCTCATCTGTCTCTGGTCTTCCTCACCTGTCTCTGGTCTTCCTCACCTGTCTCTGGTCTTCCTCACCTGTCTCTGGTCTTCCTCATCTGTCTCTGGTCTTCCTCATCTGTCTCTGGTCTTCCTCACCTGTCTCTGGTCTTCCTCATCTGTCTCTGGTCTTCCTCATCTGTCTCTGGTCTTCCTCACCTGTCTCTGGTCTTCCTCATCTGTCTCTGGTCTTCCTCATCTGTCTCTGGTCTTCCTCATCTGTCTCTGGTCTTCCTCACCTGTCTCTGGTCTTCCTCATCTGTCTCTGGTCTTCCTCATCTGTCTCTGGTCTTCCTCACCTGTCTCTGGTCTTCCTCATCTGTCTCTGGTCTTCCTCATCTGTCTCTGGTCTTCCTCATCTGTCTCTGGTCTTCCTCATCTGTCTCTGGTCTTCCTCATCTGTCTCTGGTCTTCCTCACCTGTCTCTGGTCTTCCTCACCTGTCTCTGGTCTTCCTCACCTGTCTCTGGTCTTCCTCATCTGTCTCTGGTCTTCCTCATCTGTCTCTGGTCTTCCTCATCTGTCTCTGGTCTTCCTCATCTGTCTCTGGTCTTCCTCATCTGTCTCTGGTCTTCCTCACCTGTCTCTGGTCTTCCTCACCTGTCTCTGGTCTTCCTCACCTGTCTCTGGTCTTCCTCATCTGTCTCTGGTCTTCCTCATCTGTCTCTGGTCTTCCTCATCTGTCTCTGGTCTTCCTCATCTGTCTCTGGTCTTCCTCATCTGTCTCTGGTCTTCCTCATCTGTCTCTGGTCTTCCTCATCTGTCTCTGGTCTTCCTCATCTGTCTCTGGTCTTCCTCATCTGTCTCTGGTCTTCCTCACCTGTCTCTGGTCTTCCTCATCTGTCTCTGGTCTTCCTCATCTGTCTCTGGTCTTCCTCACCTGTCTCTGGTCTTCCTCATCTGTCTCTGGTCTTCCTCACCTGTCTCTGGTCTTCCTCATCTGTCTCTGGTCTTCCTCACCTGTCTCTGGTCTTCCTCATCTGTCTCTGGTCTTCCTCATCTGTCTCTGGTCTTCCTCATCTGTCTCTGGTCTTCCTCATCTGTCTCTGGTCTTCCTCATCTGTCTCTGGTCTTCCTCATCTGTCTCTGGTCTTCCTCATCTGTCTCTGGTCTTCCTCATCTGTCTCTGGTCTTCCTCACCTGTCTCTGGTCTTCCTCACCTGTCTCTGGTCTTCCTCACCTGTCTCTGGTCTTCCTCATCTGTCTCTGGTCTTCCTCATCTGTCTCTGGTCTTCCTCACCTGTCTCTGGTCTTCCTCATCTGTCTCTGGTCTTCCTCATCTGTCTCTGGTCTTCCTCACCTGTCTCTGGTCTTCCTCATCTGTCTCTGGTCTTCCTCATCTGTCTCTGGTCTTCCTCATCTGTCTCTGGTCTTCCTCACCTGTCTCTGGTCTTCCTCATCTGTCTCTGGTCTTCCTCATCTGTCTCTGGTCTTCCTCACCTGTCTCTGGTCTTCCTCATCTGTCTCTGGTCTTCCTCATCTGTCTCTGGTCTTCCTCATCTGTCTCTGGTCTTCCTCATCTGTCTCTGGTCTTCCTCATCTGTCTCTGGTCTTCCTCACCTGTCTCTGGTCTTCCTCACCTGTCTCTGGTCTTCCTCACCTGTCTCTGGTCTTCCTCATCTGTCTCTGGTCTTCCTCATCTGTCTCTGGTCTTCCTCATCTGTCTCTGGTCTTCCTCATCTGTCTCTGGTCTTCCTCATCTGTCTCTGGTCTTCCTCACCTGTCTCTGGTCTTCCTCACCTGTCTCTGGTCTTCCTCACCTGTCTCTGGTCTTCCTCATCTGTCTCTGGTCTTCCTCATCTGTCTCTGGTCTTCCTCATCTGTCTCTGGTCTTCCTCATCTGTCTCTGGTCTTCCTCATCTGTCTCTGGTCTTCCTCATCTGTCTCTGGTCTTCCTCATCTGTCTCTGGTCTTCCTCATCTGTCTCTGGTCTTCCTCATCTGTCTCTGGTCTTCCTCACCTGTCTCTGGTCTTCCTCATCTGTCTCTGGTCTTCCTCATCTGTCTCTGGTCTTCCTCACCTGTCTCTGGTCTTCCTCATCTGTCTCTGGTCTTCCTCACCTGTCTCTGGTCTTCCTCATCTGTCTCTGGTCTTCCTCACCTGTCTCTGGTCTTCCTCACCTGTCTCTGGTCTTCCTCACCTGTCTCTGGTCTTCCTCATCTGTCTCTGGTCTTCCTCATCTGTCTCTGGTCTTCCTCATCTGTCTCTGGTCTTCCTCATCTGTCTCTGGTCTTCCTCATCTGTCTCTGGTCTTCCTCACCTGTCTCTGGTCTTCCTCACCTGTCTCTGGTCTTCCTCACCTGTCTCTGGTCTTCCTCATCTGTCTCTGGTCTTCCTCATCTGTCTCTGGTCTTCCTCATCTGTCTCTGGTCTTCCTCATCTGTCTCTGGTCTTCCTCATCTGTCTCTGGTCTTCCTCATCTGTCTCTGGTCTTCCTCATCTGTCTCTGGTCTTCCTCATCTGTCTCTGGTCTTCCTCATCTGTCTCTGGTCTTCCTCACCTGTCTCTGGTCTTCCTCATCTGTCTCTGGTCTTCCTCATCTGTCTCTGGTCTTCCTCACCTGTCTCTGGTCTTCCTCATCTGTCTCTGGTCTTCCTCACCTGTCTCTGGTCTTCCTCATCTGTCTCTGGTCTTCCTCACCTGTCTCTGGTCTTCCTCATCTGTCTCTGGTCTTCCTCATCTGTCTCTGGTCTTCCTCATCTGTCTCTGGTCTTCCTCATCTGTCTCTGGTCTTCCTCATCTGTCTCTGGTCTTCCTCATCTGTCTCTGGTCTTCCTCATCTGTCTCTGGTCTTCCTCAGGTGGTGGAGGACGGCTACGAGTTCTTCGCCAAGCGTCAGCTGGTCACTCTGTTCTCTGCGCCCAACTACTGTGGAGAGTTCGACAACGCCGGAGCCATGATGAGCGTAGACGAGACACTCATGTGTTCCTTTCAGGTGCGCACCATCATGCTTCTCACACACTCCTTAAAATCAGCTGGTTACACTTTACAATATGGTTCATTAGTTAACTACCTTAACATGAGCTAAGAATGAACAATGCTTCTTTAAAAGATCATGTTTCTGCTCTCTGATGCACTCGTTAAACACATCTAATGATTTAACCTTGCTGTACTTGATATTAAATGCAGTTTAACAACATGTAATATTTTGCATACCATTTTTATGAAATCATACTATTTGTGAGAATATTTTGGGTTGCACTTTATTTTAAGGTGTCAGTGTTACAGTGTATTTATATACACTCAAGTACTGTGTAATATTAAAGAACTACATGTACTTACTATAGAGCTAGGGTTTGCTTTAGGGTTAGTTGCATGTAATTATGCATAATTATTACTATAGTAAATACACTGTAAAATAAAGTGTTACCATATTTTTATTTAAATACTCATTTTGAGTAGAAACATTTAAATCACAATTTGCATTTGCATGATATTTAGTGTGGTTCCTGATGAAAACAGTTTTAAAAATTAATTGAATACACTACAAAATATTTTAAAACAAATGACAAAAGTTGATGGCAATGTAATTTAAATCATGTTTTTATTTTAAACTACGTGTACAGATTTAATTATAATGACTGATGTACATGAATCATGTCTTTGGTTCACTGCAGTTTTAAGCAGGAAATACTCAGCAATGCTGTCGACTTATGAACTTACACATGTGTGTCTTAAAGCAGATTAAACACACCACATACACACATAAACAACATGAAACGCTGGATTTACACCGCAGGGGGACTTTAAGACTAGTTAATGCACTGTGAACTAATATGAACAGTTGTATTTTAATTAACATTTACCAAAGATTCATAAATTGTTAGTTAATGCATTAAGATTAGAAATGAGACCTTATTGTAAAGTTTTACCAATTAACTTGCAAGTCCTTGAAAACAGCCATATTTAAGAAGAGGTGCTTCAAAAGTGCTTGAATTATTGAAATACAATATATATGTATGAAATTAGTTCTTAATGTTATCGCAATTAGTTCTTTTCACGCAAAATTAACGTTGTAGCTTGTCTGAGATATATCATAAACTTAATATCATGCTCATAGCTCTATAAGTATATAATACAACTTTTATTCTTCAGGTCAATCATATATTCATGGGATTTTGAATAAGGAAATCGATATCTTTGTCATATTATCCTTTCAGTGGTTAAAGTGATTCCCCATGCCTGACAGCGCTCGTCAATGGATTGATCTCTGTGAAGTCGAACATCAAATACCATATATATATATATTGTATATGTGGGAGGAAAAAACTAATACAATAATAGAGATATTGTTTGATAAGTGCTGATTATATTAATTGAAATCCAAAAAAGTAGTGCATAAAGTCCTGGAAATTCATTTTACAGAATCTGTACAAACGTAGTCATTTACACTCACTTTATCTGATATCACACCACTACCATTTAAAAATAAAACTAGCAACACTTTAAAATAAGATCTAATTTGTTAACATGAACTAGCAATAAACAGTTCTACTACACAGTTTATTCATCTTAGTTAATGTTTACTTTAAAATACACCGCTAAAATCAGCTTTTTTCTGTTAACATGAGTTAATGCACTGTGAACTAACATGAACAGTGAATTGTATTTTTATTAACTAACATTAACAAAGATTCATGATTTGTTAGTTAATGCATTGAGTAAAGAAATGACAAGCGTTTCCAAAGAACTAGTGATGAACGTAAAAGAAATGCTGAGCGCTTACAGTCCATATATATATATACACACCAAAAACATGTAATTTGAGTAAAAAACAAATAAGAAAATAAAGATATTGTTTGATAAGTGCTGATTGTATTCATTGAAATCCTAAAAAGTAGTGCTTGAAAAGTCCTTAAATTTCATTTGACAGAATCTGTACAAACGCTGTCATTTACATGCACTTTATTTGTGTTTTTGCTGTCTATTGTAATGTTGATTTCCTATCCTGCAGATTCTGAAGCCAGCAGAGAAGAAGAAGCCAAACTCCAGCCGCCCCGTGACTCCACCCAGGAACATGGTCGCCAAACAACCCAAGAAATGAGGGTCATGTGACCCGTTTGGACTCTCAGTCTTCTCGTGTCACGGATCCGAAGGCTGAACTTCACTTTAATTCTTTTCCTTGTGTTTTTCTCCGTCCTGAGCGGCTTCTCTGACACCAGAAAGCAGCGTTTAGTTTGATTTGACTGTTTTTTTTTTAGTTGTTCTTGGAGGCTTTTATATGGTATATCTCAGTTTGACACAAGCTCCACCCATTGTGTGTGTGTGTGTGTGTAAAGGAGCTGATGATTCGATTTGCTCGTTCAAACCACTGTGAACAAATGAGATATTTCCACTCGCTCTGTTTTTACGCACCTGCAGCTTCTCTGCGCTTTTGTATTATTATTTTTGTCTTGTGACCGTGCCATGAGGTTTGATTATTCAGTCCGATTTTAAAAATGCTTTATGATTTTGACATTTTATATTCTCATGATTTAAAGAAGAGCGCATGATTTGTGTTGAGTGTGTTCATCACGTAACATTTACACTACCAGTTAAACATTTGGGTTTCGGGAAGATTTGTAATGTTTTTAAAAGAGTCTCTTCTGCTCACCAAGACTGCTTTTATTTGATTAAAATACACAAAAAACGGTGAAATATTATTCTAATGAATAATAACCGTTTTCTATGTGAATATACAGTAAAGTGCAATTTATTCCTGTGTATTTCCAGCATCATTACTCCAGTCTTCAGTGTCACATGATCCTTCAGAAATCACTCTAATATGAGGATCTGATGCTCAAGAAACATTTATGATTATTATCAGTGTTGAACACAGTTATGCACATTTTTTTTCAGGATTCTTTGATGAATAGAAAGTTCAAAAGAACAGCATTTATCTGAAATATAATCTTTTGCAACATTAAACACTACCGTTCAAACGTTTGTGGTCAGTAAGAATTGAAATCAATGCTTTTATTTATTAATTATTTATTAATTAAATTGTTCAAAAAGTGACAGAAAGCTTTTGTAACATTATAAATGTCTTTACCCTTTCAGATAAATGCTGTTCTTTTGAACTTTCTATTCATCAAAGAATCCTGAAAATTGTACACAACTGTTTTCAACACTGATAATAATCATAAATGTTTCTTGAGCATCAGATCCTCATATTAGAGTGATTTCTGAAGGATCATGTGACACTGAAGACTGGAGTAATGATGCTGAAAATACACAGGAATAAATTACACTTTACTGTATATTCACATAGGAAACTGTTATTGTTCATTATAATAATATTTCACAGTTTTTTGTGTATTTTGGATCAGATAAACGCAGCCTTGGTGAGCAGAAGAGACTCTTTTCAACTTTGGACTGGTAGTGTATCTCAGTTTGTTCTTGTTGACGAGATGCCTCGTCGTCCTCCTCTTCATCACGTGTGTATCTCTCGCTCTCTCAGACGGACTCTTGTGTTGCATGTGTGTGTGGGACTCGAGGCCTTCAGCATGTCTCCAGAGTACAGTAGCTCCTCATATCAGGTAAATCACGTCAGGAAAACTTTCTACAGTGTTTCAGATCGACACAAGCTCACTGTAAATATACAGGAAGTGTTTTGTTCAGTCTTGGCAATAATTCACAGTTTTCCACACTATAAATAATTGTTATACTTGCGAAATAAATTGAAGGGAGAAGGAAACACCATTGCGTTGTTTGTGTTCACTTTTTAATGAAAGTTTCTGGAACCAGGTTCACTAAATATAAGACTCTTAACTTTTGTTTTCTTATTTCCCCACTATGTAACGTCTAGCGGTTTAAAAACAACTGTGTGTATCGGTACCCGGAAGAACATGGTTTTGGTTAATAATGTATTAGTAAATGCAGAAATGAATGAAGATTAATAAACGCTATATTAATATTGTTTATTAGTAGTTCATGTTAACAAACAAAACTGTTGTGTTACCAAGCGTAAGACAAATTTTGAAGGAAAAATAAAAATAGTGATGCGCGATATATCGGTATCGGCCGATATCGGTTCATTTTTAATGTTATCGGCCTGATATTAAAATGTGTCTGATATATTAAAGCCGATAAATAATGTATTATATCCTTCAGCTGAGGCGCTTCAGATGCGCACTGTTCAACATGATGATTATGAATTGCTTGAAATATGATTGGAATCACTTCAAAAAAGGAAAATACAGTTCAGTGCAACATGTGCAGCGCAAGCCTGTCATATCGGCTACATAACATTATCATGAGAACATTATAATTGTGTGTTTGGGATGTGGATTTTAATGGGGAGACTTTTGTTTTTGTAATCAGGCTCTCAAAAATTATATAAAAATTTGGATTTAGATTATCGGTTATCGGCTTTCAAATATAAAGAGTTATCGGTCTCAGACAAAATGTTCATATCGGCTACATAACATTATCATGAGAACATCATAATTGTGTGTTTGGGACGTGGATTTTAATGGTGAGACTTTTGTTTTTGTAATCAGGCTCTCAAAAATGATATAAAAACTTGGATTTAGATTTATCGGCCGATATATCGGTTATCGGCTTTCAAATATCTGAAATTATCGGTATCGGCCAAAATTTTCATATCGGTGCATCCTTAATTTTTCAGAACATAAAATGAATCTGGTCTTGAATCCCTACAGGTTAGATGTTTAATGAATTTAATGGTTGTTTCATTAAACATGACAACAGAGCACTGACTATATTTGCATATTACTTATGCATATATTGCATAACATGTGATACTTTTTTTCAGGATTCTTTGTATTAAAAGTTAATGAACTGCATTTGGTTAAAATAGAAATTTTTGTAGCGATTTACAAAACGCTTCGATAGTTTGGGGTGAGTCATTTTTTCTTTTTCTTTTTTAAATACTTTTATTCCGCATGAATGATAAAAAAATATTATTGTAAAGATTTATATTAGAAAAATTGTGCATTTTGAATAAATGCGGTTCTTTTTTTAAACTCTATTCATCAAAGAATCCTAAAAAACAAGTACCATGTTATAAAAAAAAAGAAGCTGCACCACTGTCATTACAACAGAGACAAATCAGCCCTTAAAACAGACTTTCCGATCTATAAATGAACATGCATCCCAGAACATTGTGTGAATGATTTACTGTCTTGTCTTTTGGTACTATTATTATTTATTTATTTACTTTTTGGATACAATGTATTTTATGATAGGACCAATGGTCAATATAACCTCACCTATACCATGTTTGGTCTCTATAAATTGGTACTTAGAAGATAGAAATCAGAGGCGATTTCTTTAAGACTGCAAGGGATGCTCGGCTTCCCCTATAATGTCAAAAAATGAATTGTCAAATATGTACTATTGTGTTAACATTTTATTGACTAAAAAATGCGTCAGAACACGTTCATCTCGAAGACGTGTTCGTTCAGAATCATATTTACTTATAGCAGGACTCGATTTCTCAAGTGTGGTCAAAAGACGAACTGCTGGAACATATTTCTTGATATTTGCGTGGCGAAATTGCCAATTTTCATTTATACATTTCACTCAATTATACACCACATTCCTTGTTTGAGTGAGCGAGTTTAATATATATATTATTTAGATCGTTCATTCATACAGTAGGCTAGGCTAGCGTCGCAGGGGTGAAACTGCACATGATGGCCGACACTGCTAATATTGTCGACCTGATTTAGTCTTCCTCACGAGGAAAAACTCAACAACTAAGACTGATTTAGTGCAAAAGATTGGGAAAAATAACAGGTCTCCTGGTGTGACAGTTATCTGGCTGTGTTATGTCCCATACTATTCAAAATGAGTTGATCTCTGTAATATATTTTTCTCAGTTGAATAGTTTAACTGCAGAAATGCACCTGGAATAATAGAATAGAATAAAGTTTAAATCTTTAAACAAATGCAGGGAATAAAGGGACCATTTACATGAAGTGTTGCATTATTTCTTTATTATATAAACAAATACATTCTGTATTAAAATAAAACAAAACGATTGCAAAGATTTGATTCATAAACAGATCTGTGCAAATAAAGTACAATTCACAAACCCCTTTATAGTTTCTCCAGCCAGGTTATGAATATACTTTTCATAAAAGGAAGGTCAAGCATCTTAATCATCTCTTATAATCGTTCCCACATCCTTCTATTTATGCCTTTATTTACGGATGCGGAGTAAAACATTTGCTCGTCCAGCATGAATATGAATTATGGATTATTGTATTAAATGCACGTTCACATCTTTCTATGGGCTGATCGATCGGCCCAACAACAGAATGCATTGAATATTTCACCAAATGTCAAGCACAAAGTCAGTGTCATTAGTGATGCATATGAATGATAACCGTTTATGCATAATAAGCATGGAGGTTAAAGGTCGTGACCTCAACACCGGATCGCTCAAGCGTGTAAACGGTTGCAATATCGTATAAAAGTTGAGTTTGAGGTCGTGTTGATATTCAGCAGGAGGGAAAATAGAAACTCAAGGCAATGCGGTGAAAGTGCTTCTGTAGAGTTGATGACAGTCAGACCTGTGTGTGTGTGTGTGTGTGTGTGTGTGTGTTTGCAGAAACTCAAATGTGTTGATTCTGGGATTTTAAAAACTACATGCAAACCAAGACATGAACATTTCATACAAAAATGACATTTTTCCAGCCCAAAAAAAAAAAAAAAAATTAAGATGTTCATAATTACTTTTTTTATGCATTGCACTTTGTAAAAAAATTATGCACTTTAAAAAAAAAAAAAAAAAATTGTGGAATTTGCATTAATATGCCTAAAAAAATGTATTTTCAAATGAACTGTTCTCTGAAGACAGACGCTATGAGTTTGGAACAGCAGGAATGTGAACCGAGACGATCTGACGACTGATGATCAATGATTGACAGATATTAATGTGACACTGAAATGTGACAAATGTTCAAACTTTACATCGTTGCAACTAAATGAGTTAACATGGACGAACAATAACTGCATTTATCAATCTTAGTTCATTTCAACATTTACTAATACAGTGGATTTTCAATACAGAAGATTGTCATGGTCTTCACGGGGCGGACAAAATTAATGTGAAATAAATGCATGTTTTAATTCTATAATGTTTTTATTTGGGATTTTTAGGGGATTTTATGGTAGTAAATGATATATATGCAGTCATTATAATCCATTTATTCACTTTTTGAGCATAGAGCTGAAAATGAAATTTCCATCTTGAACGCTTTGACTCTGACTGAAGTTTGGTCTCTTTAAAGACGACACATGCCAGATTATTGCTGATGCGTTATGAACATGCATAAA